TTCCATCTTCTTTTAATACTTCCTGGATCATTTAACATTCTGCCAACAGCATCCTTGATTATAGCAACTCGAGGTTTGAATTACTGAGTTGTTGCATGTTTTGCTGCGTATATTTCTAACAATAAGGATTATAAAATCAACCAGAACAGGAAACAGGATGGAGAATACGTCACACCTCTGCTTTTCTTTGTATATTTTCTTATAATGTTAAAATGACTGAGCTTGGACTTCTACTAGTAATATCTGCTAAAACTACTTGTTGTCTAAAACTATGTGAGAAGAATGTGTTTTCTGTTCATTTTACTATCATTTACCTTGACGTTTTCTTAAAAGTACATGAGGATCTTTGTAATTGTTAGAAGTAAAAGGATTTCTACTATGTTTCCTCACACCTTTCTCGTTATGCTTGTAGACATGTCATCAATACCAGTGTTCCCATCCCCACACACTTCTTTGTGGTGCTGACCAGCTGTCTAAACCGGAGCCACACCCCCAACGACTGCCCTGGGTCTCTGGATGTCCTGCCTTTCATCATCCCGCACCGGCCGACCAACGTGGAGAGCTGCCCTGTGAGTATGCTCAGGAAGGGCCTGGGACCAGATGAGATGGTTAGTCAGACCCATCTTGGCTTTCATAGTGGTAGCTCTGCCTAGAACACATTCTTGTAGGTGTTGTATGGCTAGACCTGGGCTGAAAATTATTTCTGTTCTGGGATTTTTTTCCTTGGGTGATACATCCCTATGTACTTACTATCAATTTAAACATACATGTGCGTATATGAGTGTCTGCTGAGACAGGCAAACCTTATGTGTTTTATATACATAATGTTCACTCTCCTAATTAGTTGAGGGCCAGTATATTATGGATCTTCTTTACTCTGAGTAAAAACTTTAAGATTCTAGCCCTCTATTGGAATGAAATGTATTCCTTAATAAATGTAACTTGATGTATAAAAGTGCATTAATTTTAAACACGAGACTCCAGAATTACTACCAGCCAAAAGGCTGGTGGTCTGAACACACTCAGCAGTGCTATGGAAGAAAGGTCTGGTGACCTGGTTCTGTAGAGATTATTGTTACAGATTCTGACTCAGAACAGGCCTGAATGGAAGAGTAGAACTTCTCTACGGCGTTTTCTAAGCTCTCACCTTTAGAAGAGCATAAATCCAGGTCTTTTCTCCCGTGACTTGCTAGTGAGGCAACACCACTGGCTTTTTGGTTAGTGACTGAGCATTTTAATCATTGCACCAACAGTGCTCCTTTCTGTAAAGATTATACTGAAGACAAGCCTTTGAAGTGGTTCTACTCTGTAACAAGGAATTGGAACTGACCCAATGGTAACAAGTTTGATTCATAGGTTTATAGAAGGCTAGGATTTTGAAGCTCCGTCTCACATACTTGGGCATGTGGCCAGAAGGGATCAATTCTTGGAGAAGGACATCATGCTCGGAAGGGTGGAGGGATAGCCCAGGAGAGGAAGACCCCAGATGAGATGGATTGATACAGTAACTAGGGCAATGGTGGGTTGGTGTGTCAGAGTCAGTGGGACTGACTCAGGACAGGGAAGGTTTCAGAGCTGTTGTACATAGGGTTGTTGTGAGTCACAGGTGACTTGACGGCACATAACAACAACAACAACAAATTCAAGTAGTACTTTTTTGAAAGAAAATATATTTAAGAAATAAAGAAGTTCACTACTATTGTGTTGATTCCCACTCATAATGATTCCCTATCAGGTTTCCAAAGAGGAGCCTGCCCATTTTCCCCCTTCAGAGTAGGTGTTGGGTTACAACTGCCAGTCTTTCTACTAACAACCCAACATGTAACAAACTAGGCCACCAGGGGTCCTTTCACATGTAATTTTTTTTTAAAAAAGCACCCCAAAACTCAAACTCATTGATATCACATTTATTGTCTTTTTCAATGATCCTCCCTGGTCTTTCTGAGGAAATGTTAATGGAAGGAAACAGCACATCTTTCTCCTATGGTGCTGCTGGTGGGTTCAAAGACTTGAGTACAACGTGCTGTAGACTAAGTTACCAGAGCTATTAGTATGCAATTTTTACTGTTATGTGTTGTCGATTTGCCTCTGACCCATAGCGACCCTCTGGACAGCAGCTCTGAAGCCTGCTCTGTCCTGAGCCAGCCTCACAAATTCTAATATACCAAACTCTATTGCCCCAGTTACTGTATCACTGCATCTCTTTTAGGGTCTTGCTTTCCTGCGCTGTCTCTCCACATTTCCGAACATGATGTCCTTCTCCAAGTCCTTCCTGACCATGTGTCCAAATTATGTAAATGGAGCTTCAAATTCCTAGCCGCTAAGGAAAAACTTGGTTTCACCCTCTCCAAGACAGACCTTTTTGTTTTCTTGGTGGTCCATGGTATGTTCAAGACTCTTCTCAAGCACCACAACTCAAAGGCATCAATTCTTCTTCTGTCATCATTAGTTATTGTCCAGCTTTCTGATGCATAGCAAGTAATTACAAAGACTATGGCCTGGATTAGACGTACCTTAGTCTCTAGACTGACACTGTTGTTTTTCAGTACTCTGGAGAGGTCTCTGGTAGCAGATTTTCCCCAATGAATTTGTCTTTTGACTTCCTGACTACTGGTGCCAAGAGTGTTGATTGTGCAAGCTGTAATTGTTAACCTCAATTCTTCTCCATCTATCATGGTGCTGCCAATTGGCCCCACGGTGAGAATCTTTATCTGCTTGATGTTGAGATGCAATCCATATTAAAGACTACACTCCTTGACCTTCTGCATCAAGTGCTTCAGGTCCTCCGTTTCAACAAGCAAGGTTATGCCATCTGCATGATGTAAATTGTTGATGAGTCTTTCTCCAATCCTGATGCCACATTCCTCCTTATAAAACTCAGCCTCCTGAGTGATCTGTTCTGCATATAGATTGAAAGGTATGGAGAAAAGATGCATCTCTCAGGCACCCCTTCCTGATTTTGAACCACGCAGTCTTTCCCTGCTCTGTTCTAAGGACTGCTTCCTAGTCCAAGTATAGATTTCTCAGAAGCACAATCAAGTGTTCTGGGATCCTAATTTTCCTCAAGATGAGCCACAATTTGTTGTGTTTTGTAATTAGACCACCTGAAGTATTGTGGTGTTTTTTTTTTGGATTAAGATAAATCATATATAATTACTCCAACTTGCTATATATAATGATAGAAGCAAATATAGATCCTGTTTTTACTGAAGTCATTCAACAAATACACTGAATGCACAGTATGATGGTGGACATTCTTGCAACCCTGGTGAGGAGGGAGGCAAGGGCCTCTTTGAGGAGTTCACATAAAATTTTGTGCTATAAAGAAGAAGACACACAAATAGATCAGTCAAAATAATACAAGAATGTATTTTAAAAAGTAAAACTTATCTCAAAGTTTGGATTACCATTCTAATGACAGTGTTTAAAATTCATAGAGAGGCACTTTAAATAAAGTTTCATATAAAGGTAGAAGCAGGACTGGGTTCTGAGGAGGGGCTGAATTTGAAAAGGTTGGGAGGCCTGGGCAAAATGTCCTATAGAAAGTGTGAAGAATGAGGAAGACTGGTAAGTGGATATAAGAGCCAGAGGAAAAGAGGGGCTGATCTAAGATGAGCCAGACATTTTAAATGCAGGTAAGGAGAGAAAAGACAAAAAGAAAAGTCAGGAATGAGAACCATGTTGGCCTGTCTAGGTGTGTTAAATGTAGAGAAATGGCTCATTTAGTGCAGCGGCAGCCTTAAGGTATGTGTTTTTTTCCTCCACCACCTCGGACCTGCACTAAGAAACCATATCCAAGGAACCTGCAATTGGCGTTTATCTTGGCACTACCTACTCCTGTGTAGGGGTCTTCCAGCATGGGAGAGTCGAGATCATTACAAATGATCAAGGCAACCGGACCACTCCAAGCTATGTCACATTTACCGATACCTAACAATTGATTGGCAATGTGGCAAAGAGAGCTGGACAATGACTAAAGATGATAGAAGAAGAATCAATGCTTTTGGGTTGTAGTGGTGGTTCTAGAATCTTGAACATTCCATGGACTGCCAAGAGAATAAACAGCTCTGTCCTTGAGAGGGTTATTGTTGTTGTTGTTATGTGCCGTTGAGTCACTTGTGACTCATAGCGACCCTATGTACAACAGCCCTAAACTCTGCTCTGTCCCGTGCCAATTGCACTGTCTCCGATACACCCATCCCAATTACCCCAGTCACTGAATCAATCCACCTCATAGAGGGCCTTCCCCTCCTGCACTGTCCCTCCACCCTAGCATGATGTCCTTCTCCAAGGACTGGTCCTTCCTTACAACATGTCCAAAGTATGTTAGACGGAGGCTCAGAATCCTTGCCTCCAAGGAGCCACCCAGTCTAACGCTTTCCAGGATGACTCTGTTTGTTTTCCTAGCAGTCCATGGCATTCTCAATACTCTTCTCCAGCACCACAGTCAATGGCATCAATTCTCCTTCTATCCTCTTTGGTCATTGTCCAACTATCTGATGCATAACAAGTAATTGCAAAGACCATGGCCTGTATCAGATGCACCTTAGTCTCCAGAGACACCATTGCTCTTCAGTACTTTGGAGAGGTCCCTAACAGCAGACTTGAGAGGGTAAAACCAAGTTATTCCTTGGAGACAAGCATTTTAAAGCTCTGTCTCACATACTTTGAGCATGTTTTCAGGAGGGATCAGTCCTCAGAGAAGAATATCATGCATGGAAGGGTAGAGGAACAATGCAAGAGAGAAAGATCTGGCATGAGATGGACTGACACAGTTAACTGGGTAAGGGTAGTGAGATAGTGTTGGCTCAGGATTGGGCAGCCTTCAGAACTATTGCACATAGGGTCACCAAGAATCATAGTCGACTCAACAGCACATAACAACATGAGTCAGTCAACTCCATGATTGGCTTTAAATACTCGAGTCACTCAATGTGGAAAGATACTATCAGAGGTTTGAGGGAATTGGAAACAGTTGTAGGATTACAAATTCTCCCTCATGTTCAGTTTTGGAGTGCACCCATCTTTTCTTCCATCCTTCTTTTTCCTTCTCAACTTCATGTAATGAAATTCCTGTCAGGCAAATAAGAATGCGGCATGATTTCAGGTTACTATCATTATTGCATTTACTAACAGATAAAGAACTCAGACGAATAGTCAGAGACATTGGTATAGATTTAGTTTTAAGTCACTGAAGTAAAATGAAATCAAGAAAAGTAAAATTAACTTGATAAAGTAGAAAGGAGAGATCTTTCTACTCCTAGAATAAAAAGAAATCCATTAAGAAGATTGAAGGTGTCATCAAGCAAGGAGTAGTTAAAACAGCGAGGGAAGGCAAAAAGACAAAGCCTGGGAACTGAGTAAAGAATCTGAAGAAATCACTGCCTTTGAGGTCATCCTAGACAAGCAGCTTCATTAGTATGGCAGCAGCTATAACCCCAGTGTAAATTAAGGAGAAGGAATAAGGAAGTGCTTAGGGGTGGTTTGGGGCTGGTATTATCTTAAAACAAACAAAATTAACTGCCCTTGAGCATACAATAGTTCTTTTTTTTTTTTCTTTTCTTTTCCCTGCCTCTTTGTAAACAGTCCCTCCTAAGGACTATCCACTTAGCTTTGTATCCAAAGACGAAATTTGTAGGTGAAAGGAGCTAGCCTTAGTTAGAAACTCATTAATTTCAGGGTCGAAAATATGGAACGCTTCACGAATTTGCGTGTCATCCTTGCGCAGGGGCCATGCTAATCTTCTCTGTATCGTTCCAGTTTTAGTATATGTGCTGCCGAAGCGAGCACTATAATAGTTCTTTTTACTTGCAACAGATCTACATATGTATTATTCTATTAAAAGGATGTCTTTAAATACAGCTCATAAGAACCAGATACTCAGAGGATGATACCCTGAAGGAATGTTGAGAAGCTGTCTACAGCTGCCCTCTGTTCAGTTTGTTTGATGCCTGTAACTTTCCTGATGATTTAACAGGTTGAGTCTCACCCTAGTGTGGGTGTAATGCTATATTGTAATTTCATTTAATTGCAATTTTAAAAGAGGGAAGAATGTTAGGTGTTTAAGTACCATTTACTTATGTCTGTTGTATGTACGTATATGAGTTATTTTGGGGGAGAAGTTATTTGTAAAAATATGATAGTTGATGTATAAAACCATTATTGTAGAATGAGTACGAGGATCCAAGGAGAGGGGAGGGGGGAAGTAGAGAGGTGAGGATGAGTGGGGGGACAGGGTTATTCATCCGGTTGGACAATTTGATGGAGATGTTGTGAAGGAAATGATAAAGACCTGGTGTGAAAACCAATGTACTTGAACTTTGTAAATAAACCAGTATTAAAAAAATAAGCATAGATCAGCTGTAAATAATTCTATAAAATACAGTGTATATGAATGGTTGTATGTAAACCAATTAGAAAGAATGTTTTTAAGAAAACATGATAGTTGAATGGATCTCTTTTATTATTTTTTAATTTTTATTTCTTTTAAGGCTAGATTTTGAATAAAGCCAAAAGATAATAGCCATGGAAGTCAAGAGGCAGGAAATGTTATGAAAAAAAGATGGTCAAGATATTTCATGCTGTTGAAATGTTAAAAGTAGTTATGGCAGGGTAAAAAGACTTTTTAATTAGATTTTCATTTTTTATATGAACTCGAAGGTGCACACTGTATATTGATTTATTTAAAAATAAAAAGTTTGTTCCCTTCATGAATCTGACACAGAGAATTACTTTAGTGGTTAAAAACAAAAATAATTTTCTCTTTTACTTCCTCTGTCACAAATAGTGTTTATTTTAAGCCTGTTTTTTAAAAAAAGTTGACCACTGTACTAAAGTTAAGTGAGTTTTATTGATTTACTCAATGAACATTGAGTGAAAGAACATCCTTCCTCCTGTGCAATTAACTGCCTCTGAAAGCCCACCAGAAGGTCAGCCATGGGTCAGTCCTGACTCTATGGTACACAGCAACAACATAATAAACTTAATTTTTTTCTTTTAAACATTTAACTGAAAATTAAAAGTGTCATAGGAATATCAGAAAAGAAGTATAGAATAAATTTCAGAGAAACTCATGTTTCTAAATTATGGAACAAATATTTATATCCCAAAACTTCTCCAATAGGATAAAAAGGGAAGCCACAGACTGGGAAAAAGTATTTGCTAATGACATGTCAGATAACGGACTTATATCTAGAATTTATAAAATACTTGAGCACCACAACAAGATAAAGGTAAATAATCCAATCAAAAAATGGGCACAGGATATGAACAGACACTTTACCAAAGAAGACATTCAGATGGCCAACAAGCACATGAAGAAATGTTCAAAATCCCTAGCTCTAAGAGAGAGACAAATATTTTTTTTAAGATATTAAAACCCAAATGACCAAGCAACAGAAGACACTAAACTGTGATAATACTTTATATGTAATAAAATTTTAGCCAGGAAAAAGCACCTTTCTTAACTCATAAGTTTGGCAATGATAGTTATCTATGAAGGAGCTCTGGGGGCCTAGTGGGAAGAGGCTGTACTGCCATCCAAAAGGCACCGATTTTAAATCTACCAGGTGCTCCGCAGGAGAAGGAATGGACATTCTCCTCTATGTGATTTACTGTCTCTGAAAATTGGCTGGAGGATTAGCTATGAGTTTGTTCTGACTCAACTGTACACCACCACAACAACGGCAACACCAGTTGTAAATTAGCTTAAACATTTTGAAAAAGACTCTTTTACTATCTAGAGTCCTTGCATAGTGCAAAAGATTATTAATTAGGTTAATAACTAAAGGTTGGAAGTTAGAGTCAAGAATGGTTTATGATCTTCTTGTTGTGTACAGTTGAGTTAGATCTGACCCATCACTGACCCTCGGGTGGGTTTTCAGAGGCAGTTAATCACACAGGAACAGAGTGCCCATCCTTCTCCGGCAGAGCAGCTGGGGGATTTGAGCACAGTGTCTTTGGGATTGCAGCATAGCTTCTTATCACTAGGCTGCCAGAACTCAGTAGATTTATAGTCTATTTAAAATTAAAAAAATCACAAAACACAGCTCTACTCTGACTTATATAGTGCTTTTATTAGTGAAATCAATCCCATAACAAGTTGTTAAATATTTTTTTTACCTTGTGCCAGAGATTTTTTTTCCCATCAGTTTTAATAGACATTTACAGAGGTTTTGGATTTCCATTCATTCATTGCCGCACTTTTCTCCCTGCCCACCCCTCTCCACCAGTTTGCTCCCCTCTCCGAAAAGAAAAAAAAAAAAGGAAAAAATTCCTTCATTACTATACAATTTCCCCATCCCGACCCCCCTCCCCGACCCCCCAACCCGAGTACACTTCTCTATGTAACCTTAATTCTGGATTCCTGTGTTAAAAGTAAGTATCTGATAAGATTAAAATTATGGTCTACTTTATGACCCAGTTCTTACATTTCTAATGCCAGAAATACATGCACTTGAATAAAGGAGGTATGTGGTAAATTATTCATTGTGGTATTTTTTACAGTACTCAAATTCTATCAATGTGATGATAAAACAAACAAAAAAAGAACAATGCTGCATTTAAATAGGAAATTTCACAATCCTGCATGAGAGGGATTAAAACAGTAACGGCGATAACGGAGGTAGATGTGTTGGAGTCAGTGAGACTAACTCAGGATGGGGCAAGCTTTAGAGCTGTTGTACATAGGGTTGCTATGAGTCACAGGTGACTCGACAGCACATGACAACAGCAAAGCTTAAAAAGCTGAGTTAACTAGATCTACATATGTCAGAGATCTCTCCAGAGGGTAAAAAGCAATTATGTCAGTGTAGAAACTAAGGTGCACCTGATTCAGACCATGGTCTTCACAATTACTTGCTATGCATCAGCAAACTGGACAGTGACCAAGGATGACAGAAAAATTGATGCCTTTGAGTTGTGGTGCTGGAGAAGGGTATTGTACATACGATAGACCACCAAAAGAATTAATACGTCTGTCTTGGAAAGGGTAAAACCAAGCTTCTCCTTGGAGGCAAGGGTTTTGAAGCTGTCTCACATACTTTAGGCATGTGAGCCAGGAGGGACCAGAAGGGTATCTATCATGCTTGAAAGGGTGGAAAGACAGTGCAGGAGAGAAAGACCTTGGATGATATGAATTGACACAGAAACTTGGGCAATGGAAGCAGTTATGTCAAAGACAGTGAAACTGGCTCAGGATAAGGCAGGATTCAGAGATATTGTACATATGAGTCATTATGAGTCTCAAGTGACTTGATGGCACATAGCAACAATATGATGATACTCCACTTTTTATTAAGAGCAATTTTATATAGTGATCTGTACTTTGAGTCCTAACTATTTTGATCAGAGAGAAATGGATGTACTATATATTGAAAGTTGCAAAGTGATAGAAACTATTTATGCTTGCTTACTAACCTAAAATTAAACTAACCCAGCAGCATTGAAGAAGAAAGACTGGGTTAGCTGCTTCTGTAAAGATTATAGTCAAGAAAGCCCTATGGACCAGGGCCATCCTGTGACACATGGCTGCTGTCAGTCAGAATTAATGGTTTGCCATCAGCAGTGACTTGGGTTGGTTGGTTGTTTTTGCAAGGGGTACAGTTATTGTATGTTGTTGTTGTTTGGTGCCGTCGAGTCGTAGACGACTCATAGCGACCCTATGAATGAACAGCCTGAGCACTGTTCGTACATAGAGTTTCTGGAAGCAAGCCATTTCAGAAGTGGATGCTGCTCCTGCTTCAGTTATTGTATACCTGTAGTTAAAAAACGATACTAAGTACACATCAATTCATGACAATGATTGACTCTAAATGGAGGGATATTGGACATTTAATATGTACTATTTATATCTTTAAAATATATATGTGAAGAATATTCAAAATAGTTAACCCACAGAACTTTGTGATGCTATGTGTCTGTTCTATTCTACTTTGTTCCTTGTTTATTTTTTTAAAATAAACCCCAAACTTAGCTGTATTAAATTGCCATTTAAAGTCAATAGAAATCATATCACTTCTCATCCTTTTGGCTAAGAGCAAGTGCAATGTCAATAGAAATCACAGAGAAAGTAATAGTTTTTAAGTAATGAAAGATCTTTCTCTCAATGAGGACCATACCCTGTGTCTCTTTTTCAGGAAGGCAAGGAGGAAAGCTATTGGATTGAGGAAAGATGGAATGCACACATGGCTCGCGTTCGTGACGTGGAACTTCTTACTGGACTTGATTTCTATCAGGAAACAGCACAGTCAGTCTCTGAGATTTTGCAACTAAAGACTTATTTACCTGTACTTGAAACCATTATTTAGCTTAATATTTTGCACAAATTGGTAAAATGTATCTGATTTTCTTTGTCAATGAATCATGAAATTTTCCATTTTTTCATTAATTCTCCTCTATGTTGCATAATTTTCATTATCCCCTTTCATCTACTTCATCTCTATGTACATATATTAAATACACATTTTCATTTTGTACAGAGTTTGTGCTGTGTTATATTTTCCTCTCAATCACAATCTTCGGCTGTCTTTTTCTATCCAATGTCACTGGAAACAGAAGGAAAAAACAAGAGGTGTTGTTGTTGTTAGGTCCTATCAAATCGCGTATGACCCACAGTGATGCTGTGAACAACAGACCTGAACCCTGTCCTGTCCTGCGTCAGCCTCACACCTCCTGCTAGAGCCCATTGCAGCAGTCACCATGCCAATCCACCTGGTCGAGGGTCCTCCTCTTCTTCACCGACCCTCCGTCTTTCTGGGCATCCTATCACTCCCCAGGGCATATCTTGGAGATTCTCTCTCTCTTTCCTTAGAGAGAACAAGATACAATTTTTTTTTTGTCATGAAGTGTTTTACAGTTGACAGTTCAACAATAACTACTGAGCTCTTAAATATGTACAAAGTATTTTGTAACTTTACTTGTATAGACACATCTGAAAAGTACTTGTTACAAATGCTTGAAAATATTTTTATAGTAGCAAAGGTCAGTGTGATACTTGTACTGCTAGCTAAAAGGCTGGTGTTTCATATCCACCAGAGACTCCACAGAAGACATACGGGTTTACCCTCTTTGTTAAAGTTTCACAGCCCTGAGAACCCAATGAAGGGTCATGCTGAGTAAGAACTGACTCAACAGCTGTGGGTTTAGTGTCTGTTTTATGCCATTCCATTCTTGTAAAGATGACAGTCTCTAAACCCTATGGAGAAGTTGTACTCTGTTCTCTAGGGCTGCTAAGAGTCAGAATAGACTCAATGGCACACAACAACATAGAAAGGCAGAAGTTGTTGAGTGGTCCAAACAGTTAACAATTCAGCTACTAACTGGGAGATTCAAGTTCACTCATAAGGATCTGCCAACTGCTTCTGAAAAAAAAGAAATCAGCCATTGAAAGTTCTGTGAGAGACGGTTTACTCTGACATCCATGGGATTGTCTTGAGTCAGAATTAAGTAGATGGCAAGAGCAGCACCCAGACACACACTGAAGAGAGGCCTGGAGCACCAATTTTGTTATGGAGCACCCAGAAAATGGATAGGACTGACTGAAGCCTCAACCATCATATTAGGGGTTAGAGGCAAGAGGGGTGGGGAGGGAAGACCAAGGCCTAATTTACCTGTCAGTTTTTGTCCTGGGGAAATGTCTTTTCATGCTCCTGTTCTTAATAGGTCAGATACGTATATATTTGCTTGTCTATCATCTGATCTTTTGGGTACAGTGTTTCTCTGCCAGATATTGTACTAAAGTGGAACTCCCAAATGTGGACAGGCTAGGAAGAAGCACTGACCATCCACTTTGAAATAACAGGCCTTTGAAAAACAATAGAGCACACTTAGACTGTTAGATATAGAACTGGAAGCTGAGCCCTCATATAGTGAAACAAAAACATGAGGAGGAGTTGCAAACAGCTACTATTGATAGAAAAGACCTGTAAAAACTCACAAACAGCAACTATACATATGGACCTTACCTTATGGACTACACAGGAATCAGATTATATCTGTGGAATCGTTGGAGAAGCTCACTCAATAACAACTGTGAAAACCAAGCAAGGCACTTGAGTGTGGAACAGATCATCAACTACTCATGTGCAAGTTCAAATTAAAGCTAAAGGAAATGAAAACAAATCCACAAGAACCAAAATGTGATCTTGAGTCTATCCCACCTGAATTTAAAAACCATTTAAAGACAGATTTGAGACACTGAACACTAGTGAATGAATACCAAATGAGATGTGGGATTAAAAATAAAAAGTATCATCCATGAAGAAAGCAAAAGGTCATTACAAAGATAGAATAGGAAGAAAAGCCCAAAAGGAGTATGATAAGTGACTTTGAATATTGCAGTAGAATGCTGAGAAGTTAAAACAAAGAGAAGAAATCAGGAAATTAAAGAGTTGAATAGCAGATTTCAAAGGGCCGCTTGGGAAGGCAAAGCAAAAGCATTTTAACAAAATGTGCAAAAAGCTGGAGTTAGAAAATCAAAAGGGAACAACTCACTCAGCATTCCTCAAGTTGAAAAAACTGAAGAACAAACTCAAGCCTTGAGTTGCAATACTTAAAGGTGCACTGGGCAAAATATTGAATGATCCTGGAAGCATCATAAGAAGACAGAAGGAATACACAGAGTCAGTGTACCACATGGAACTGGCTGACACATCCATTTCAGAAGAGTATGATCAAGAACCAATAGTAATAAAAGAGGAACTTTTAGTTACTCTTAGGGAATTGGCAAAAAGTAAGACCATAGGAAGTGATGGAATACCAATAGGCATATTTCAACAAATAGATGCAGCCTTGGCTGTGCTCACCAAGTTGTACCAACAAATCTGGAGGGCAACTATCTGACCTATTGAATGGAAGAGATTCATATTTATTCCAATTCCCCCCAAAAAGGTGATCCAATGTCACAAATATCACATGCAAGCAGAATCTTGCTGGAGATATCCCAAAACAAGTAAAACAGTATATTGACAGAAAACTGTCAGAAATGCAAGCCGTGGTTAGAAGAGGCCATGGCACTAGGGATATCATTGCTGCAGTCAGATGGATCTTGGCAGAAAGCAGAGTACTAGAATGATGTCTACTTGTATTTTAATGACCTTGCAAAGTCATTTGACTGTCTGGATCACAACAAATTGTGGCTAACACTGAGAAGGATTAAAATCCCAGAACATGTGATGATCCCATGCTAAACCTATACCTCAACCACTGAGGTGTACAGAGCAAGGGCATGGTTCATGGTTCAAAATCAAGGAAGCGTTGAGTCAGGAATAAAGCCTTTCTCCATACCTTTACAATCTGTGTGCAGAACAGACCACCTGGAAGGTTAGACTTTATGAAGAAAAATGTGGCATTAGGATTAAAGGAAGACTCATCAACATCCTGTATTATGCAGATGGCACAACCTTGTTCACCACCAAAACTGAAGAGAATTTGACATGTTCGCTGCAGACAGTCAAGGACTGCAGTCTTCAATATAGTTTGCATCTCAACATCAAGAAAAAAAGGATTCTCACCACTTGGCCAGTTGGCAGCATCATGATGGATGGAGAAGTGATTGAGATTGTTAACAATTTCATCTTGCTCAGATCCAGAATCAGCACACTTGACATCAGTAGTCAGGAAATCAAAAGGTTTGTTTTAGGTAAGTCTCCTGTTAGGGACCTTTCCAGAGTGCTAAAGAGCAATGATGTCTGTCTAGACAATAAGGTGCATCTGATCCAAGCCATAGCTTTCTCAATTACATGTTATGCCTCAGAGAGCTGGACAGTGACTGATTATGAGAGAAGAAGAAATGATGCCTTTGAGCTGTGGTTCTAGAGAGGAGTATTGAACATACCTGTGGACTACCAAGAGAACAAACAGGTCTGTCCTGGAGAGGATAAAACCAGTTTGCTCCTCAGAAGCAAGGAATTTGAAACTCCGTCTCACATACTTGTTGCCAGGAGGGACCAGTTCTTGGGGAAGGACATCATGCCTGGAAGGATAGAGGGTCATCACAGGAGAGGAAAAACTTGGATTGAGATGGATTGACACAGTGGGGTCAGGTACGTCAGAGACAGTGAGACTGGCTCAGGATAGGGCAGGGTTCAGGGCTATTTTTTATAGGGTTGTTATGAATTTCTACAGTAGCACATAACAACAATGAGTTGTAGCCGACTCGACTGAACGATCAATAACAGCCTTTAAGAGAAGACAAATGGAGGGAAAAACTCCTACACTCTAAAACTGATTTTCCTCAGCCTTCTGTTTATCCTCATTCTGAAAGTGACTAGATTATTTTTCTATGTTAATTCAAATAGATTTTCAAGACAGAACTAAAACATTTTGCCACAAAAAATGAAACCAAATATTTTTGTACAGAGAGATTGCGCAATGTTAGGTCCTCCTTGTTCATTATGCTATTAAAAAGAAATGTATGAGTGTGTTTAAAGTTCTTCTGAAGGAATGCACAGCAATAAGCTTGTTTTGAAATGACAGGAAATCTGAAATTGCTATTTTATGGATTTTAATACAGTCTACATTTCACAATGAGCTTGTACTGCTTTCAAAACCTGAGAATGTAAGCAAGAAATATATTTGCAATTCTTCTATATTTTCTAAAAAACTTTCCGATATACAGGAAATTGCAAGAATAGTACAAAAAAATTCATGTGTGTGACAAAGCTTCAGCAATTGTTAACATTCTTACTATATGTATTTACAGAAACCTTTCAACATTTTATTCTGAACCTTTTACGAATACATTGCAGTCATTGTGTTTTTCAGCCTCCATACTTCAATGCGTGTTTTCTAAATTCAAGAATATTAAGTCACAACCACAGTCAAAGAATTTAGTGTTGATGCATAATCCACAGCCATCAAATTGATTCTGACTCACGTAAACTCAAGTGGAGTTTCCAAAACTGTAATCTTTACTGAAGTAGGCTGCCACATCTTTCCTCCCAAGGAGCAGCTGGTGAATTCAAACCTTTGACCTTATTATTATCTTTTGTTCAGTCTAATTGAATGTTTTCTAAAATTCTCAATAGTTTCCTTTATAATATTTTATTTCTGATCTTGAGCCCTAAAATATTCATAACACTAAGTATTTGAAATTTTCGTTGTTTCCCCTATTTGGTCTCTCATAACGTGCAACAGTTCTTCAGATTTTAGAAAGCATTGACATTTTTGAAGAGTCAGATCATTTCTTTCACAAACTGTCCCTTGAGACAGATTTCTTTGAGGTGATGTTTGCTCATGATTACATTCAGGTTCTCCATTTGGCAGGAAATAAGGGTGATTTGTGATGGTGAGTACTCAGTGTATCACA